ACACGTTCTTGTTCTGCTACTAAAATAGTATCGATTGAGCTTCGCTTGACCTCTTCCCTCTAGCAAAGGTTGAAAGCATGCTAACGGTATCTTTCCTGGCACATCATTGTGTTCTGTCGAGTCAATTTGCATATCCAGGGCTGGGCCATTAAAACTTCGCATAATATCTGTCGATAAACTTCTTAGCGGTCTTAATGGGTTTGCAATTGGTAATGCATTCATATTTGCCACTGAAAAGTTAAGCAAAATTAATGAAATCTTAAACTTACTTGATACTGAATCTATTTTAATACCAATTAATTCATTTAAAAATTGTAGTAGACATGAAATTATTATGAAACTTCAAAAGAATAATTTGAATTAATTTTACCTCTTACTTACCCATAAATGTTCAAAGGTTACTCAAAAATTTAGGTGCATTTGCATGCTCTCTTTGAATATTTAAAAGTTAACCAATGAATTATTTGTTTACAAGTATTGCATATCTTTTGATGATTTTTGTCACTTTTGTACAAAATTTAAGTAACTTACAAGACGGACAACAAACTGATGTTTGTCGTCGATCGCCTATGTGACACCAATAATTAGAAGGACATAGGGGATTAGCAGATGAACAAAATGCAACATTTCCATCATTTTCATCGATATATGGCAATCCAACTGGACAAGGATTATCATATTCTGCAACACCTTTATCGTTATCATTATCATTTTATGAAATGATTTCATAAAGTTGAAAATTTGAAATATGTTAAAATGAAATTTCCTTCACATTTTTGTAATGGCACAATTAAATTCGGATTTTCAATGGAAAAATCAAAAATTATCAATATTTTTTCATGGATTTTTTAATTTTATCAATTATTTCAGATTTATTACAGTTTGAATGAGTGAGTTTTTTGGTACTACTTGACATTTTAAATTTGAAAATTTTAGATTGTATTAATTTTAAAATATGTTTACCGGGACAAGCCATCCGACATTCCTGAACCGTTTCAAAGCAATTATCATTACCACCAATTCCTGAATATATGAATGGTCGGCAGAGTGATGCATCTGCATCAAAATAATATCGTGATAAACTGTGCGTACCAGTTCCAGATGCTAGCGGTTCCAAGCAACGAATTCCTTCTGAAATTTAATCAAAAAAAGTTTGTATTTTAACAGAAAAAGAAAAAAATAGAAACTTACGAATAGTTCTGATCGCCGCATTTGTCATCAAATTTTCCGTTCCACCAATGAATTCGCTTGAAATTCTAGCATTTCCATATGAAATTCCAGCTAATGGGTCAACTGAGATACCAGTATTAACCGGATTATAACCGGGAAGTATTGGAACGCCAGAACCAATCGATGATTCAGGTATCAGAGCATTTTTTGGAATAGCAGAAGCGGAGTTAACAAAAGCTCTTGCTCTATTGAAATCAGATGTTTCAACTCCGGAACCAACTTGACCGATAAAAATATTTGGTAATGAAACATTACCAAAATTCGGATTAATTCCAGTAGCCATCGTAGAATGGAGATATTGATTCGAAGTGATAGGTTTACTATCAACATAACTGACGAGTTCAACAGGTGGGATATTACCAACAGCTATATTAGCATTGTTAATCGAATCAACAGTTCTCTTAGCATAGTCAATATCTGTGAACGAATTGCCACTCTTCAAATTATAGGTGCTGCCGGAACCGGAATTGACATTTCCGGTAGGATTTAAAATTACAGTTCTGCGGTGACCGAGCATAACTTGATCGGTTCCCGGACAACAAACAGTTTTTGTTAAATCGTCCAAAATTCGGCAATAATATCCTTGTGGACATGAATAAATATTTTCTGGCGAACATCTGAAATTTCAAAAATACTAACTTCGAATGTATTGAAAGAAAAAAAGCTAAAATGATAAGCTGATAAACAGAAATATGCATACTGTTCCTTTGCATTTGTTTGCATTTGTGGTTCTCCATTTTCACATGGATTTATAGCGCCACAACTTTGTTGACATGCTCGAAATGTCAAAAAATTATTTTGGTTTCCCTAAAAAATGAAATCAAATTTATAAAATAAAATAAAATGATCAAACTTGTCCATATTTTTATCAAAATTAGCAATAATTCGAAACTAATTATGATAGTTTTTTTGCTTTCCAAATTAATTTATATACTGAATATATAGTTTTATTCAAGTATTTTTAACATTTAGTGAACACATAAATGATTGTTGTCCTACCTTGAAACCGTTAAAAATAAACGTTTTGCAGTGATTATCGTTAGCATCGTAGTACCAACGACCCAGTCCGGTAAGACCAATTCCGGATTCCTGCCTTTGTTTGCACGGACTATCAGCTTCAAATAGAAAAAAAAACAATATGAATGAATTGTCAGGAAAAAATGAAAATTTTTTAAAATTGCAAGTATTCATTATTTGATATATGGGAATTATAATAATATAAAGTTCTACTATGTAAATTGCAATAATATAAAATTTTAAAAGCTGTGAATTTGCAAAAAAAACGGCATTGGTGGAAAATTTTTGATTTTTTTCACAAAATTTGTGTACGAATTGCTGAAATTATGGAAAAAAAGTCACCAATTATGGGACAACAGAATGTTTCTTGCGGTCCAACACCAATTTGACAAAAGGTACCGCGGGGACACAAAAATGAATCTGTCGGAGAACAGTATTGCAATTGAAATCCGGTTGGCAATGATTGAAGGCATGGATCGGTGATTGCTTTATTGATAACATCGATGATTTCATTAACTCCTTGATTTGATGGATTCAAATTCATTTCATCATTTCGTGTCATTTGAAAATATGTATATTTAGCATCTGTACAAAAATATTGACACACTAATGCAACAAGTTTAAATTCTAAGTTATTTAAAAGTAATGCAATTCTGTTCGGGTTAAAGGCTAAAAATTAAGCAATCAATATTAAAATTTCAAATATTATGTTTTTGTATACAAACAGCACGATTAATTTCAAAAGAAAAATACAAATTTCATATCAATATTTCACTAAGATTACATTATTACAATAAAATACACATAAAAACGTTCTCTTCAGAAAAAATTCACATGAATCATATCACAAATATCAGTTTTATCAAAATTAAAAACTTATCAATTGCGAAGCGACATTTTGAACATTGGAATTTTCATGCAAAGGCGCAGCATATACATTGGGAGTATTAGTTGTTGATATTATTTCTAAAAAATCAACAAAATTAATTCTGCTAGTAATTAGTCACAAAAATATTTCATATTTCGTCATGAAATATATAAATTTTTATCAGTACCAGTTTTTATGGAAGTTGATAAATTCCAGTATGATATTGTAGGCATAGCATTTTCAGTATTAGGCTTTCCATTACTTGATGATAAGGTATTTGGTGAGTTGGCAATTTTCGATGATGAAAGACCTAGATGGTATTTTAATTGAGGATGCTTTATAGTAGTATTAATGATAGCAGTGCCGCTTATTTTTAAATATCATTTACAAATTTGAAGGAAAGTGTTTTGAAGAAATATCCGACAAAATCCTTCCTACAATCATTATTAGAGCTTTTAACTTATTTTTATCCTCATTTATCTCTTTCTTTATTTCAATTTATCAAAATATTCCGCAACTTTAGAATTCTTGATCTCACTGAAACTTTTTATCCAAATTGGCTGCACAATTAATTACTTTCAAAATATACAACAAACCTTTTAGTCTTTCAACAAAAATCGAATGTTCTGGTAGAATTGTCGTCAAAACTTCTAGTGGCTTAAGCTTTTCAAAATTAAATGGTAAATCAGTTGGGAGTGTAAACATTTCTGTTGCCGCAATTTGAGTGGTGACAATTGGTGATGGGACAATTGCTATCGTAGTTGCAAGTGATCCTGCTAATCAAGACTTTGTCAGGTACTGACCTTATTATTAAATTACTACAACGAAAACATCAAATATTGGATGAAGAAATATTATTAACACTTGTTGTTATCATCAAATTGATAATATAAAACATTTTTTAACCGGAATTTAAGCATTTTTTGGAGCACTGTTCATGTTTGGCAAAGCGATTGTTATTTCCACCAAATCCGGTATAAACAAATTGTTTACAAGCATTATTTCTTGCGTCATAATAAAACCGTGGAATTTTATAGGGACCATTGCCCGGTGCATTAGGAAGTAAACAAATATTGACATCATTTGTGTCGCCTGTAAAAATGAATTTCAAAACTCACTTTATTTATTTTTGTTGAAAAAGAAGCAAAAAAATGTCTTTTATTACTTATTTCTTTAACAAAAAAAATACTGTTTGTTTGTCCTTACTTTATTTACTCACTGCTTAACTATTTCAATTATTTTCTTCTTCTTCTTGAACATTATGAGAAAATTTTGGAAGAAAACAATTATTTGCTGAATTTATGCTTTTATTTCTACTTCAAATACCTTATTTTATTTTATATTTTAGCAAAAAAATAAATGTAATGACTGAATTTTATAAAATATGAAAAATCTTTCGTTTTTTATAAATAATTAATAACAAACCATCAATATTTACCATTAATTTCTTATTCATCATCTTATAGTAACTTAATTTACGTTTACAAAAATAATTCAAAAATTACTCTCCAATTAAACTTTCAACAAAATTAACCAATGCCACAGGTGTCCAAACATAAATGATCTGTTTTAAAATTGTTAGCATTGCCTTCTGAACCCAAATAATTGAATCGAATACAACGATCAGCGGCAATATCAAAATACCAACTTAAAAAAATTCAGTTTTTTTCTTTTCTTTCGAATTTATTCTTTTAAAAAGTTTTTGTGCTTCAAAAAAGCATGTAATTATGAAAGTACGCATCACTGATTAATATTTATAATTTGATTTTAGTATTTGAAATCAATAAAAGTATTTGCAATAATATGCATAGTTGTTATATTAATCATATTATAATTGAATAATGATAATGAAGATTGGTAAGTTGTAGATGGTGCTGTTATAGAGAGTTAATGAAGCAATTACCGATATGATGATGAAATGCCAACGATGCTTGTCCCTCGGTCTGGACTTAACTCACAAGGATTCAGGTCAACATCTTAAAGTAAAAATTTTATTTATAGTGGTGAAATTAGCTTTTGAAATAGACGATCAATTAATTATCCCTTACATTGAAGAAATAGGATTAAATTTAGAGTAAAATGAGAGATTAATTTTATTGGTTGAATTCTAAAAATCACTGTAAGATGAAATTTACAGAATATTTAAGAACATCGCTAAATATTTTCAGGTACAATAAATTCAATTTGAGGCCATGTCCGATTTAGTTAAATTCAAATCAAAATTTAGAATTAATTTAAAAAGAAAAAATTGAAAACAATACTTGGAATCACACTTTGTTGCTCATTTACCGAATGCTTTTGACTATCAGTATCAAGCTTATTTGAAAGTGAACTATAAGTTAACAGTGATTTGGATGGCTGTTTACCTGAAATATTTATGTGAAATAGAAATATGTTAGAATGGAAATGGAATATCTGCCGCAATACACAAATCATACAAGTTTTCGGGTGAGAAAAACTATAAATTTTCGGAAGTTAATTTTGGCTACAAATCAAATGATAAATGGCAATTTATTCATTAAGAAAGAATAATAATTAATCCAAATGAATGAGTAACAATTAACATGATAAAAGAAATAATTTAATTAAAAGAATTTGTATTAATTTATTAGTGAAAGTAGTGATAGTCCATCCAATTCAAAAAAACTAACTAGTAGTTTATTTAACTATGCTTTTTAAAAACTTTTTTTACTTTTCAAAAAATCAAATAATATAAATAAATCAATAAAAATGGTAATAATTAATTCCAAAATAATGATTAATTCTTTGCTTATCCAAAACTAATTTAATACATAATAATTTATCCAATAAAACAAGTCATAATTTGCTTCCTTTACAAGAAAATGAGTAATAACTTACTAAGCAATAATAATTGATGAAAATTTTACCCCTGTAATAATCTGTTTCCAAAGGAAGAAGTTGAGCAATAATTTACCTAATGAAAAGGAATAAAAATTAGTCGAAAAAAGACTAATAATTTATCAATAAGTAATACTCTGCCCACCCAAAAATAATAGTGCTAATTTACCAAAAAGAAAGGGTAAGTAATCATTTACCCAAACACGCTTTTTCACAATCTGTTTTTGTTAGGAAATTATTCTCATTTCCACCATATCCGGCATATGTCAACAGTTTACATGTGGAACTTTTCCAATCGTACCAAAATCGCCGAATTTGTCCACTTCCATGACCATTTGCTGGTGCCAAATAGCAACGTTCTTTGACTGTAATTTATAATTAATCAATTATAAAATGGATAGATGGCTAATTAATTGAATGTATAATCTATGATAATTACTACAGCTGATAGCTGTGCAAGTTATGAATCAATGATGTGCTATGTTTAAATGAAATCTTCAATGATATATTTCTTGCGTGATTATAGTTTTTATGCAATTCATCTTTTTTTGAATTGGATTTTAATACATTCAAAAACACAATATTTCCTTTTAAATATTTCTGTATATGAATTTGTTTGATTCATTTCGGAAAATATGCAAAAAAAAAACAGTACTTTTTTGTTCCTCAGAAAAAGAAATATAACAGTTTTTTGTTCCTTTTCATTTCATTAAATGTAAATCCAATTTTTCTCTTTCAACCTTTAATTTCATGTCTAATTTCTTAAAGTGTTATAGAACTGCGTTTTATCAAATTACTATACCTTTTCTGTTTTTTGGACAACAATACCATGAATTTTCTGTTGCACCAACATGACACCAAAATTTTTCCGGACATAACATACTGCTGTCCGAATTTTCATCCGGTAGACATTTCTTTACCGTATCATTAGCTAACAATAGCGGTATTCCTTCCTCGCAGTAAAACAAAATGCCTATTGAGATTTCAATTAATGATACTTTTGTCGTCCATATTCACTGACTTATTTTAATTAAGCCATGTTAAATTTAATAGTTAATTTTAAATGCTTTTATGATAAAACCTCGATTTATAGCAAAGAATCGAAAATTAATGAATTAAGTATCAATGAAGATATAACTAAATTATAATTAGAAAAAAAATTTAATTAAATTTTTTAAAACAAGAAACGTTTAACTTTCAAAATATAATCTACCTATGCCAGTATCATTGAAAACCAATCTAATATTTTCAGTATTTTTATGTGCTCGAATTACCGTAAAGGCATAAACAAATATGACGAAAATTAAGAAATATCGTATATTACTGAACGTCATTTATCTGAAAATAAATTTTAAAATGCATGTTAAAATAATATATTTTGAAATGGTATGATTTAATTATTAATTTCATCTAAATATGTTCTACGCTTGCGATAAAAGTGGATGGGATAGAAAGAGAAACGATGGTATACAATATGGTGACAGTAAACGGTAAAATGTGAAACTATTGTGGACAATAACGGACCATCACGACTTATGCTCGGACACTTTGGGTATGCATAACAAAAGTAGAGAGTGGAAAAGATAGAAAGAAGAGAAAGAAGAAAAATTTTTGTTTACTAATGACCTATTCTAAATACATAGCGGGTAGAATTATTCGGTGAATAAACAGAATGATTCAATTTGAGTGCTTTAAAATTTCACTCCTCAATCTTATCTGTATTGTTAGTAAAATTTAAAATTTGTTGAAATAGTCTTTCTTTTACATATCTTGCGTAGTTATTTACATTAAATTTTAAAATTATTATTGTTTTTTCATTTCAAAGTAATTTCTAGTTTTTAGTTGATCGTTTAATTTTGAAAATCACTATTACTGTTGACTTTATTAGGATATATGCAATGTCAAAAAGATTTGCAAAATGAAATTTTTGACAATAAGAAGCGCTTAAAAAAAGTACACTATTTTGTTTTCAAAAAAAAAAGGATTAAAAAGTGGTATTGTTTTGTTTGACGTGCAATTTATACAATGTACTCTGTGATAGTTGACATAATTTAGAACGAATTAGTGAAGGTTTTTCAAAAAATGGAATGAAATAGAAGCAAACATAAACTGGAACTAATTTCTCCAAAAAATTTAAGAACAAAAATTTTTACGAATTCATTGAATTATAAAACTCAAAACACCTGAAAAGAAGCAGGAAATCAAAGATTATATTTGAAAACAGCATCTCGTAAAAAAGTTTTGGCCTTATTATAATTAATTTTATTTTTAGCTGTAATGTTTATCTGACAAAGATTAAAAATAACAAATAAATATCATCGGTTTTGACAATCACACACGGTGTATAATCAATTACTTATAATTTTGAAAAATTTAAAAATGACTTTAATCAATCAATTATTGCACTTTTTTGTTAAAATTAATATTTGCTTGTTATTTTCAATAGCAATTCTGACATTAAAAAATTATGAGGTAAATGAAATTAAATTAAATTTGTGCTGTTGTATGCATTGAGAATCTTAAATGGAAAGTTTGACTACGACAATCTTTGGTTTAGTAGATGAGAGGAGTTGGGCGGGGTGGAAGTGGTAGGATGCCTCTGGGATGTCAGGGTATGTGGTGCTGGTCAGGTTTTCCGGTTCGCGAAACCGGAAGTAGAATGTGGAGTTACGCGTTTAATGTAAGATGATGTTTTTAACGTAGGAGAAGCGGGAATTTTCGCTTGCTTATTAATTATGTGGGCTTAACTCTGTTGATTGCTTTTAAATAGATTATATAACGTAAATGTGATGAAAAATAGCTACAAAAACGAACATGTGTTATAAAAGTACTTGAATATTATTTTAAATGAACATAGCGTCTATTAACTTGTTTGTGATTAGAAAAATAAAAATGTGCTTACCAGTAGTAATGGACATGTAACACTGTAACATTTTTACATCGGAACACTGTAAAATTCGTAACCTAATTAATTTTTGGACGTGTTATTCTTAAAAATATTGACCGTTATGGTGTATTTATGCCCTTTAATTTAATCTATAGAAGAAAAAGAGTGCATATAATGATTTAGAATTAAATGTGCAATAACTGTTCTGACTTTGGAGTTTTGTTCAGGCTTTCAGACGATTGGAATGGCTCGACGTAACGAATGTTTGGAATGTAAAGTATTTGTGGGAGGTCTACCAAATGATGCATCAAGTGAAGAAGTAACTTTATGAAAATCAATATTTTAAGGAATTTTCATCGTTATCTCTATTTGTTTGCAAAAAAAATTATCTTTTGTCGAAATCTGTAATATAATTTTGATCAGTAGCACAATACTATGCAGATTATTGGTTTTTTAGTGTTAATTTAGTCATCAGTCTTGCTAGAACGGGAATTTCTTGTACAAAACTGACAATGACCCTAAAGACATAAATTTCCTTAATTGTATATAT